GATTTTAGATGTAATAAATCTTGTGCTCAATGTCTTGTGTTATTTCTAAGATTCATAGAAAAAAGATATTGGTGCCACAAACGACCACACAGTATTTCTTCCAAAATTTCAATATGATGAATACATCATACAAAGAATACAAAAATCAGCAATATACCATCGAAATTAGTCAATCTAACAGATATATACGTTAATAATGACAGTTTCAATAGTTTACGATAAGCGTAATACCACAATTGAAATGGTGAATTTAGTTTACATTGTTCTACTGTCTATTAATCCAACATATCAGCTAGTTTCAAATTATCTATTTCATTTAACAAAGTGAAAAATCATTCTTCTATTTTATTTTTTACATCATAATCTGACAGTGCACACCAAAAATTTGTTCTAACTTTATAATAATATCTGTTGTTGTGACGTGATTGTGGGTGTGAGTGCTGCATTAACTCATACCCGCATCCGTTGCAAAGAGAGAGAACGAACAGTATACAAGAAATATACAAACAATCATCAATGCAGATCATTATTGGACTTTGAGATATTAGCGCTGTTTTCCTCTTGCTAAACAACAGTTATAAATTGCTGGCTAGTGTGTTGAAAAGAGTGGACAACAATTTGTAGAGTTCGAACTATCATGAGATGAATTTCAAATCAAATACATTGTAATTACAATATTAATAAGTGAGTGATTGATCAACGTTAGGTGACTATATACTTGAATTATTGTCTAATCGACTGCTTCTCTTTCGCTTTTCAATCATACAAACATTGCTTGATACTCAGTCAATGCCCTCGTCAACATTAAGAATTCGTTTAGTGAAATTCTTCGAAACTGTTGAGTTACATAGATGAAGGACGTTTTCTTATTACTTCATCGGACAGCTTTTTCAATAATTCCAGTCATTATTTTGGCCACATTGTCAATAGAAAACGACATATATGCCTCTCCAGGCCAATAGAGAAAAGCGCCAACAAACAGGTAGCAGATAAAGGCAAGATAAGATGAGACAATATGCACTTCTGCAGAACTCTGAGGTGTATAAAAAAAAAAGTATTTGCTCCTTGAAGGATCTACATCATTCTGTCATTGGAAAGTAGGCCAACAGAACATAAACCTTAGTCACTTTCATCTATACCCTTATCTTGCAGTATCATTCAGAAAAATAGCTGGAGAAAGTACTTAACATAAAGTGGACCACAAAACTTTAAGAACTTTCGATGTTTTCTTTACTTGTTTTTACAGATAAAAATAAATATCTTTATATATATATATATATAAATATTTATGTTTTCTTATCTGTAAGAAAAAGTAAAAGAAACATCGAAAGTTCTTAAAGTTTTGTGGTCCACTTTATATCTTCTTCTATCTAATACTTGCTGTTGATCGTTTCCTACAGAGAACTTCATCTTCGAAACTTCATGACCAACGAAAATAAAGAAAATAAGTTTTCAATTCACATAAACCAACCATCTCTTACAGTACCGAGAACGCTGAACCAATCATGCACGAATTCAGACACTTCTCTCCGATGTCAGGCAGTATCTATTACTAAAGAAAACCCTTCTGTATCTAAACCATCTATAATATATTTTCTCTCGCTTGTCTATGCTTACCTCTGCATAGGATTCGGAACGGGCATCACGACGTCAACGTTATTGAAACTCGGTGAACAAACAAATTCTACGACTTATCAACTCACCAGTATATACTTTACTCGTTCATGTGGCTCTTTGAGCGGTACAACACTTGCTGGACTGCTCATTGATCGATTTCCTGATTTCGGTAATATGTTTCTAATGGCAGCAGTTTTTATTATGGGTGCAACAACATTCTTGATTCCATTTATCTATCAATTGATTCTATTACTTTCCTTGCAACTGGCATGGGGTTTAGCATCCGGTATGTTGGTGAATCTAAGCCATATCTTGACAATAAGATATTATTCATACCATAATGTTGGTCCATATTTGCAAGCTTTACATAGTGCACTTGGTATTGGAGCTTTTATTTCGCCACTTGTCGTGGCTAAGTTCCTGTCCGAGCGACAAGACAAGAATCAATGGCACTACGCGTATTTTATTATTTCTCTTCTACATTTACCTGATTTTGTTTGGCTTTCATGCTACAGTGGTCGCAATGAATGCTACGACAAGTTGAAGTCAGAAAACAGACCTACAAACGAACAAGTCACGGAAGAGTTCCTGACCACAACACCTGTTATTCTCGCCGATCTTAATAATGAGCAGAAGAAGAAACCAGTAGAGTTCCAGCTGTCATTCGTCTTGATGCTTGCGCCATTTCTCTTTTTGTATCTAGGTTGTCAGTATGGTTTTATCTTTTATTTAAATATGTATGCAACCTTGCATCTTCGCTTTTCAAAAGATATCGCCGCCTATTTGAACTCGGCGTTCTGGGCATCCTTAGTCGTTGGTCGCTTATGCGGAATACTATTTTCGTTCAGATTCTCTCCGCAGGAAATGATTTGTGGTGATCTTGTGGGCTGCATAGCATCACTTGTTCTTCTTCTTGTATTCAACAAATTACCTTTTATTCTATGGGTGGGATCAATACTTTTCGCCTTCTTCGTCGCATCTATTTATTCATCGACGATAGCCTATGCTGAAAAAAACATAACGATGACAGGCAAACGTATGGCCATGCTCAATGTTGCAGCCACGATAGGACAAGCAACCATTCCATTGTTGGTGGGTATCAGTATCAATTCAACGTTTTTCGGTCGTCCAAACTTTCTTATCATTGCACTCTCTATTATTGTCCTTGCATCAATTATTTTTGTTTTTAATGTTCTATGTACTGCACGATCTTCATTGTTATCGCACACGGATATAAAAATCAACTATAAGACGCAAAACGAAAGATCGAAACGAACAGACTCCTCGCTTGAAACAAACTTCAGACAATCAACAGTGGATATTTCAGAAGTCGGTAATTGATCAGTTTAATCTACATGCATACAACTGTTCCTGGCAAAGCACATTTTCTAAACAATCTAATGATATTGGACTGTGTAAAACATTGTTGTCAAGAAATGAACTCTTCTTTTTTTTCCAAAATTTCCCTACCTCATAATGACTTGTCAAACAAATCTAGTACATTTATCACTCTCAGAAAGTTAAAGCATCACAGTCGTTTTATTAAAGAGAGAGTCTACCATATGGCTACTGTACCATGCCCATAGGTCGCCATAGAAAAATTTTCTAATAATCGGTTCAAAGATTTAAAAAGAAAGTTTTAGTCGAATCATGTTTATACGAAAATAGTAGATCATTCCGGTAGTCGCCTATGGATATAACGAATTGAAACATTCATTTTTGCTCTATTGTTGAATCTAAAATAGACTTCATCGGATACGACTACAGAATAGCTCTATTTGATTGATATCAACATTTTCTGTCAAAAACACAAAGTTCATATAGCGCCTAAGATATGAAAAGGGCATGAGTTTCGAAAAATGATATTTTTATGTAATTCTAAGCGCAGTAACACATCGTAGAATGAATTTTTTACTCGGCATACATTCCATTAAAGCAATTTTTTTGATATAAAATATCGAGGTACTCTGCTGGACCCGTCCGTCTCGAGGCAACTTATATTTCGACTCCAATTCATTCGATATCTGCCTAAGCTTAGAGTTCACATTAGGTTTGTTGCTCATCATGGGAGTCTAAATCGTGATGACTGTATAGAAGTACCTGAAAAGGCATAGCACAGCTACCAGTCTTGAATATTCTTTATAATAGTTCAATAGATTGTATTATGTTTAATCTTAATCGACCGTCCGTTTTAATATCACTACAAATTGGACAGATTAGGTCATATTTTTAAATGAAATGAAGTGTTAAAAAAGATAGGTTACCTTGAGAAGGAATAATTAAAAATTGGTGCCTGGAAATTCAATAAAAGTGCACAGTAATCTAGGAATGATTGAACATATGCCTCTTTCTACCTTTATTTTGGTTATTTTTTCAGAATTAAAGAATTTAATTTTTTCTGACTACTTTCATGTATTTTCATTATGATGGAGCTATGAAAGTTACAATTAAAGACGCTTTTCTCTAAACTTTTAAGGAACACATGAAATGAGAAGAAGGCCTGAAATTCGATTCAGAATATAGAACCTGTATATAGATAAAAATCCTTCTTACTGCAGCATTACATTTCTCAGAATTGTTACACTAATATTCGTAATCACCATCGTAAATTTTGTCCTTGTAGTTAGTTATAAAAATTAATTTCTGATGAAAATGTTTTTGAAAGATCATGTAAAGTATAGCTAGCTGCGATCCCAGATGCCACTATCAAGTGATAGATAAAGAAACTATGATAAAATGAATTGAATGTGAACGAAGATTTGCCAATGTTTTGAATAGTGACAACTGATAACAGATGATCACTAAAAGAATGAATGAGAAAATGTCAAGAAGTGAATCGACTGAAGTCAACAACTTGTCCATCATTGTAAAAGATATGATTATGATATTTTGTAGTCAATATCTACTTTATTTTCGTCAAATAGTTTTGCTTGAAAATTGAGCTATGAAGTGATTTTATCAATCATAGTTCTTTTTTTTCAGACATGAATATTTTTCATACTTCTATTATGTTTCGATTGCATGAATTAAGATTATCACACTTTTAAAGATTTTATTTTAAGCGATTTTCTAAACTTCCTTTCAGTATAGAATCTAATCTGAAGTTACTACAATCATCTTTTTATATAAAAATTGAAATGAATCAAATGATAATTAGTGATAAATAAAAGTATATCAATGAAGATTCCATCAAGGAATATTTGAAATGTAAGATTTGCAGCAATCCTTCCATCAATCCTGAAAAAAACTAAGCGTAAACCAAAAGAACATGCATTTTGTCATCATTGTATTAGAGAATGGCTTCGACGAGATTTATCATGTCGTCAAAATGTTAAAATTTAAGATTTAACACCGATCCGCAGAGACATTTTACTCAATATGCTTTATAATCTTCCTGTTAAATGTCTATTGTGCAAATAAACAGGACTAGAAAGAGGTGATTTTGATGAACATGTCAATAAAAGATATACAAAGCGAAAAAGTTTATGTTCATCAGCAGATATAGAATGTCTATAGGCTGGATCATATGATGAACTTGAAAAGCATTTAAAAACATGTCCATATACAACATTAAGAGTCATGCTCATTCAAATTATTACTAACAACAGACAACATACCGAACAAGTGAATCAATAACAAATTCAGATTGATAAACTTCAAAAAGAAAATCAGGTAATGAAAGAACAATTGCAGCAGCAGCAGCAAAACGTACACATTTCAAAATCTTCAACCAACAGTCGACCATCTCATCAACCAAAAATAAGAAGAGAAAGTAAGTTTATGCACAAGAAATTTTCAGACGTTCTCTCTGAAATCATTTGCTCATTATAAAAGTTTTATTCCATTTTCGATATTGTCATTACGATTTAATGACAATAAATTATCCTTATACAAGCTATTAAATCGATCAATTTTTCAGAGAAAAATTGAGTAATTGTATTTTTGATCACCAAAAAAATATACTTTTGATCACCAAACATTTTTAGATACAAATGATCACCAAAAAAAGATACTTTTGAGCACCAAATATCTCTAGATACAAATGATCACCCAAAAAAAATAGTTTTGATCACCAAAAATCGTTAGATACAAACGATCACCAAAAAAAGATATTTCTGATCACCAAATTTTATAGAGAGGTGTGATTTTTCATCACCTCTTGTTTGTTCGTCATTCACTTACATTTCATTATCTATTTTTTCATAATATCACTCACATTTCCTCATACCTTTTCTGTTTCTGCTTCTCGTATATATAAATACTTTAAAGTTTTCCGTTTGTAAAAATGTCAAAATCAAATTGGATTCTGCTGTGTAGTTAATTCAATTGATGATGTTAAACCACGTAAACTTAATAATGTTTGATTATCAAATGAATTTAAACGTTCAAAAAATGGTTCTAATAATTAGTCGACGACAAAAGTTTCGCCTGCTGACTATATCATTTATTTTACGCTTTACAAGGACATTAAAGAAAAGATAATATTATTATCACATATACTGTTCTTAGATACTTCGTTACTCATATTCAGCTTTTTTATTTCTTTAAGCTTTTGTTTTAAATTGATTAAATACTAGAAAACATTAAAAAATTCGAAATTTGACACAGGAGGAATGTTTATTTGTGGTGAAAGAAGCACAAAAGCCAAACAAGACATTCAATACAATAGCACATCAACTGGATTGTGATCGTTGAACTGTTTATCGTGCTATCGCTCGTTTAAATGCAACAGGATTATTAACTGAACAGGAAAGATTAGGTCGACCACCTTCCATTACTGGAGGACAACAACAGCGGTCACTGGACAAGTACATCTCAAAAAAGCCAACTGCAACTTCGAATCAATTTTCGAACTATACCTTTAACAAGTTCGGCATTCGAGTACAAACCAAAGTCAAATGAACACAAACTCAAGTCGAAAAACTTCATTTATTTGCAGTGGAGCATCAAAGTAGTGACCTCAAAATATGGATTTTCATTGATGAGACACAGGTCAATTGCGTAACACAGGTAAAATCGATTGGATGAAACGTGGGGAACAAACGCCTACACATGAAATATCTTCTCTTCGTGCTTATGTCAACTTATGGGATACAGTTTGGTGGAATGGCAAAACGTTCGCAAGACTGCTTTCATCGACTAATTTTTTAATGGTTTCTAGTATTTAATCAATTTAAAACAGAAAACTTAAAGAAATAGAAAAGCTGAATATGAGTAACGAAGTATCGAAGAACAGTGTATGTGATAATAATATTATCTCTTTTTAATGTCCTTATAAAGCGTAAAATAAACGATATAGTTAGCGGGCGAAACTTTTGTCGTCGACTAAATAAATTAGCAAATCGAGTTTTGTTTTATATAGGTTCAAAGAAGTTTGATTATAATAAAAAATACTTTCGAATATAAAAAGTTGTTGAATTTTTTGCCTAGTAAAAATAGTAGAATACAGTGATGGGACCAGTTCGGTTCGGTTCGAGATTTTGAAAAATTCGATCGGTTCGATTCGATTTGGTTTGAAAAAACACGAACCGAATCCCATCACTGGTTTGAAACTGATTGCTGCATCGACTTCGCTTGAAAATATTCATGATGCAACTTGACTTGACTTTTGATCGAAAAACTTCGAATTTGCGCATCTCTGACAGTAAGTTAATATGCAAATTTACTATTCATTTTTCTGTTTCGATGATGATTCATTTATAATGGAAGTATCAATTCAATGAAAATTCAGGTAGTTGAACTTAATCTATTTATGGAAACAACTAGTGAAGCTTTATTCGGTTAGCAATATGAACGACATCTACTGGAAGAAAAATCGAATGAAAATGAAAATAAAAATAAAACTCTCTTTCGTTTAACTGAAAAGTACGTCTATGATTTTGTTCAATGTTATCAAATTCAATGCGATAACCGATTAAAAATGACGTTGATTTCTAATTATTTTAGAAGACTATTTTTCAGGATTTAAAATTTTTTAATGGAAATATTTTCAAACAAAATAAAAGCATTTTAATTTTCATAAACAAATAAAATATACAATTAATATTTTCAAGTATATAAAGATGCCATAACAATGGCAACAAATAAATGTAAGAGTGAATTTATTCATCTAGAATAATTTCTTTCTTTACTATTCTTTTTCATATTTACATTATCCATTTGTCCAAAATGAATAGACTTAACACTCGAATGATATAGTAAATAGGAAAAAAGAAAAATTTATCGATAGAAATGTCGACCATGTTCTCCTCCTCCATTATCCTTCGTCGTCATCTTTTTCTTCTTCAAATAATAATCATTTAAAATCATGAATATCCTCGTCACTTCGTCAAACATTTATATCTTTACGTCAACTTTTTTACAATACTTAATAAAACACATAATGGTTATGTATCTTTTGATGTTTTTAAATGTTATTGGGCACTATCATTTTCTTTTGATAATTTATCATTAACAATAGGTATTTTACATGAACTTCAAATAGAATTAAAATCAAATAACTATTTAGTAACAATAACATTTGATTTACATTTAAAAATTATTGAAAAATACTTATCATCAACAAAACATTCATCATCACCAATAAGAACATCTGATCCATCATAATCAATACCATCAATTGTAATTCCAAAAGTAAGACGTCCACCATCGCCTATAACATTTCCATTAAATCGTTCAACAAGTATAGTAGTTGTTACTGTTATACCAAAAAAAGTTGAGCAACAAATTCCTGGTGTTGATAAAAGTTATAGTAGAATAGAAGCAAATCATTATTATTCAAATAATAATACATCAATTCTTGTACATTGTAGAAAAAAAATCTATTATACAAAAACTAATTAAACAAAATGGAAATAAGTATAGTAAAAATCCATCAATACCAACAAGAACAAGTATAATTTATAATAATGAAATTAATTTTTCTATGATATGGATTTTTCATGATTTATTTTGTTTTTGTTTTTATCTCTGAGATATTTAGATTCGGGCAAAGAAAAGATTTTAAATTGAACGTGCCAATCTTATTTCAACATGTGATACATTTTATCGTATTAAACCTTATTTATCTCATTGTCTTCTTGAAATGAAGGATAAGTAACACTCTTATTATATTCATTTATCAACAATAGATATTTGTTTTATAAAATAAAATAATTTTTGTACTTTACACAATTGGTATAGCACCAGAGCCAATTTATGGTCTTGATTTCATTGTTGATTTACTTAAATTAGCAAAAAAAAATATTATTGAAACAAATTGTGATTCAAGAATAGGAAAATAATTGGTTTTTTTGTAATCAAAGATAAAATGATTCATGCTATTTTTAATGGAATCGTTGATCTAGTTCATTTTCATCTTCATCATTTGATCGAATAAATAATCAATATTAAAAACAATTAAAAGTAATAAATAATCATATTAAACAATTAGAAAGAGAAAACGTGTTTTATTAAAAAGATTAGTTGAGATGAGACATCATCATAAAACAGTCATTTCAGCAAAAAATTTCTTTTTTTTCAATTATTTACTAATTTTATTACAGAATAAATAGTGTTTTTGTTTGTAGATTTTTGTCCAATATGTTGATATTGGTGCCACATGCCGACGTGATGGTCGATATGAACGAGTCAAAAGAAAGTAGCACTACTATTGGAACCGACTATCTTGGTACATGCCTTGGGTTCTTATTAGATTTCAAGATTAATGGTATTGAAGTATGTATGATTAGTCACTACACCTTTCCATCTGACGACGCAGGTTTATCTCAATCAAAAACAATAATTCAAATTCTTGATTTTCTTCTTGGTGAATTAGACTTTTGTTTTAATATAGATACACCTCCATATCAAGGTGTATCATCTTTGTCAAATATTCATTTACTTGTAGCTGGTGGTGATCCAGAAGAAAGTCGAAATATTCAAAATTCTTTATGTCTTTTAAACTCCGATGACAATGATTTTAATATTGAAAATGAATGTAATGATAAAGATGTGTGTCTTCTTTATAATAAATTAATAAATAAAGTTGTTATTATAAAATCTGTCTCAAAGGCATTGGATAATGAAGAAGAAGAAGATACTGGTAAATAAGAAACTATAAAACATATTTTTGATATTATTTGAATTTATTTTACAGCATCAAAAAAAAAGATTGGTAATGATTATCCATGTGTTTATATGAGATACTGTTGTAGAACAAAAAATATAACAATGGGTGTTACTTGGCTTGCAGACGGATATAACGAAGATATCGCAATTTTTCAAATGAATTTATATTCAAAAAATTTATCAAATTTTCAATGGGAACTTGAAAACGAAAAAATAGAAAGTCTGAAAATTTCTTATAAAACAAAAACATCATTAAACCAACGATTAAATCAAGCATTATCTCTTATTCCAACAGATGCATTTATTACGTTGTAAGTAGTTCTCTACTTATAGAATAAATTTTCTGATAGTGGATACGTTGTACCCTAGTTATATCTCTTTCTCTTATTTTTCTCTCTTCTAATATAGTTAAAAATTCTTTATTTCTTTCATAGTCCACGTCAGTCGTCAGATGTTAAAGTTGGTATTAATGGATTTGGTCGTATTGGTCGACTTGTATTTAGATGTGCAATTGAAAAAGGTGTTCAAGTGGTCGCTATCAATGGTTAGTATTCGATTTATTTGTTTATATGTCTTATAAAATATATTCTAGTAGATCAATTTATGACTGCTGATTATATGGCTTATATGTTTAAAGATGATTCAACACATGGCAAATTTAAAGATGAAGTCTTATATAAAGATGGAAAATTTATTGTAAATGGACAAGAAATCAGTGTTTTTACTGAGTAAATAATTTAAATCAATAAATTTCAATGTCTCATCTTATTTTATTTTTAGAAAAGAACCATCAAAAATTCCATGGGGTCAACTCGGTATACGTTTTATTTTCTTGACCTTGAATGATAGGCGATTAATTGATTTCTTTTTCTTTTTAAAGGTGTTGAATATATTGTTGAATCAACCGGTGTATTTACGACAATTGATGAATGTCAACCATATTTACAAGCTGGTGCTAAAAAAGTTATAATTACAGCACCATCAACTGATGCTCCAATGTTTGTTATGGGTGTCAATGAAGATAAATATACAGGAAAAGAAGCAGTTCTTTCAAATGCATCATGTACAACAAATTGTTTAGCACCACTTGTTAAAGTTATACATGAAAAATTTGGTGTCATTGAAACTTTAATGACAACTGTTTATTCGTATACATCTGCACAAAAAACTGTTGATAAACTGTCAAATAAAGTATTTAATTAAATTAATAAAAAAATTATTTTTATTTCTATTTTATTTTTGTAGGATTATCGAGATGGACGTGGAGCTGCACAAGATATTATTCCATTATCAACTGATACTGCTAACGCTGTATGTTTATTTATTTTATTTTTAATAAATAAGAAATGATTTGTGTTTTATTAGATACGAAAAGTTATTCCGGATTTAAACGGAAAATTAACTGGTATAGCTTTTCGTGTTCCAACGGTAAATGTTTCAGTTGTTGATCTTACTGCTCGATTAAACAAAGGCGTAAGTCATTTTTTTATTTTTAGATTCAATTTATTTATTGAAATTTATTTATTTAGGCTAAATATGAAGAAAATTACTATAGTTCTCCTGTTAGTCTTTGGTCCGTTTTTTGACAATTCAAGTTCGATATTTGGAAAATATTATATGGTTTTTTTTGTTCTGAATCCCTTTTTTTGAAATCCATGGTTCATGAAAATTTTCATTGTTTTACCCTCTTAAAAAAAGAATATTTTAAAAGTCAACGGCATTGATGCTTTATTTTTCATAATAGAGAAGAAATTGATATGAAAAAAAGGGGTCTACATTTATGTTATATTTTATAGGTTACTCATTAATACACAGAAATGACACTAATAGGCACAATTAAAATTTGACGAGGATATAGTTTTCGATTTATGAAATGAGACTTCTATCTTTTGAATTGGTTTAGTTGTTAAAAAACATCATATCAGAAAAATTTTTTGTTCAAGATCTCGATTGATTTACTACGGAAATTATATTAAAGTTAAAATATCGATAGAAAAATTGTTTTGAAACTTGCATAAATTCATCTTGAATCAATGGATAGAGTCATCTAACCAGTGATGAATACGGAATAGAACCGTACGATTGTCCTAATATATTGTTCAGCTAATTGACAGTACAAAAACCGACAGCAATACAAGGTTTAAAGATTTTTTCTATGTCCATCTCTGCATTAAATATAATATTCATCCAAGTGTAATAAAAATGTTCTTTTATTGTATTACATCAAGGTAGTTATTTTCATGAATATAAACGTGGAAAACTTTTTGTTTTTCATACATATGACTCTCAAACTGCTGGAACATTAAAAATGAAAAATTGTTTACAAAAAAATCAGTTATTGCTCTTCTTGATAGAATTTCATCATAAAAGAAGAACTCTTTTCTAGACCTGTGAGCTGTCACAGGTCTAGTTATCTACTTACTGAAAAAAATTCAATTCATTGCCAATTTTCATCACATAGTTTATTCAATAATTATATTGAAAATCTATTTATACGAAAAAACCTGCAGCATTTGCATTGTATCAAATGATATTCAAATGTTTAATATCAATGGATCTGTCAAAATTGGGTATTAGGTATTATTTTATTACTTTACCTGATTCATTAAGTAGTCAATTGATAAGTAACAAATGTAGACGAAAATTTTAAGAAAAGAAACTGACATCATTTATAAATGAAAAGACTACTTTTGACGATTATCATGAATATAAAAAATACTAATTTACAATACTAAACTTTGCCATTTTGTATTGTACTCTCCATCAGTCGGATTTACTTCTAAACTTCCTAAGGATTTAAGTATTTATTTAATTAATAAATACAGTCTAACTTCGGTACTAATTATTCACTGTTAATTATATTTGTAATGAAAAAAGAAATTTAATTTATTCAATAAGATTTGATATAAGGATTCTAGAAAATCGATTTGCAGAAGAAGATATTATTATAGTAAACAGATGTTTCCAATATAATATAGATATATTGTTCAATATATCATAATAATATACTATGACAATAACTGATCCTATACAAAATCATTGTGGAACTTCATTCTAAGGAGGGAAAGTACTGAATGCTGTACTATTCATGACTAGAGATACTAATCTTTAAAATAGGTAATTTTTCAGCTACTCTATCAAATATATAGAACAATGTAATCGATGCAGAAATTTTTTAGATATATCACTGACTTTTCTTTTTATTGTTTTATATGATGCATTTAAAATTTATTAGAAATAATATATATATTTTTTTTTAATATAATTAATAATAAGAATATCCATAAGGCAAATCCAATGGCACAATTTGTGGTAATTGATGAGTATAAGAAGTCGATTGTAATATTGAAGGATTGAATGTACTGTGTGGTGGAATGATTGGTTCATAATAACTCACAGGATGTGAATTTTGTTGAAGAGTATAAGTAAATGCTGTTGGTTGTTGAAGACATTGATCAAACGGAATGTATGATCGTGGTTGTTCTTCAATTTGTTGTTGATGATGATGTGGTCTTAAATGGATTAATCTAGAAATATAAATTTTGAATAAATAAAATGAAGTTTTTTTTTTGAATATTTTACTTTGTTCGAGTAATTGGTTTTGATTGACGTAAATATTTTTTTCGATTAATAATACGAACTTTTTCTGGCGGAACTTCAACAATATTTTCAATAATTTCTGGTGTTGGTCGACGAACATATATTCGTTCGATTAATTTTGGTTCAGGTGAACGAAGACGATGAAAAACTCGTTTTACTTGAGGTGGTGGAGTTGGTAATTTATAGACTAAAATTTAATATTATGTTTTTTTATTTTTATTTTAAAATTTTTTTATTATATACTCTCTCGAATATGTCGATCATTTATTCTAATTTTACCCAGTGATCTACATAAATCCTCTATGTCTTCATCTGATGACGTCAAATCGTCTTCATAAATTTCTTGATAATGAGGCTTTATCGAACGATGTTTTTTAATTATATGTGACGAAGGAATATGATTTTCATAAAATAAATTTGATTTTCGAAACATTGGTCGTTTATGTGTTACTATTCGGCCAACATATTCATACTCAGACTGAGCAGGAACTCTATATATATATATATATATATGTATATTTATGTTATTAAATGTCGTTTTCTGTTTCAAGAACTTACTTTAATCGACTTTTGTGATTCCTAGATGTAGACTTATGATGATTTGAAGCCAATGACGAAAGTGAAGACGAATGATTTGAAGATATTTTTATATTTTGCATAGTAAACAACACTCAATATAAAAAAAATATCATTGACTCATTTAGATTTTCATGTACGAAATATAAGAAATCATGAAGCATAAACAACAATATTATACGTGGCTATACGGTCGAGTGAGCAATAAACAACATTCTTTGCAATAATGTATATTTTTTTCTAAATATATATCTAACAGGTATGTCAGAAAAAATAAGCCTCTAGGTGTTTTTCGAATATCTCTCTTAAATTACGACGTTAATACTTGAATTTCTTCTCAAAAGACAGCCTATGCAATTCTCTAAAACAAAAAACTTTAAGAATAGAGCTCTTCCAACGTTATACTTGGTCAATCCTACAATACTCCAAAATAACTCACTTTCAAATGCGTATTTTTATAAAACTACTGATTTCACTTCTTCTAACAAAACAGATACAAGAAAAAACAAAACTTTGCAACATTCTACTCGTATATCGAAATGATAGAGAAAATATATTCCTTCAACTGAGTCATCAATCTAAATATGAAATAATTTTTTGATTCAAGATAACAAAATTAAAATTATGATGAATCTTAATAAAAGATTCTCAGAACACAAATAGAGAGACGCAAAAGAAAAGTTCTTATTCAGATCGATTTACAATATGTCAAAAAAAAAGTATTCGCTGAACCAATAGAACTTTTTATAGACTACAAAATAGTCAATATGAAAACAAGTGCTTTGAAAATAGGCCATTTTGAAGCATTGTAGCATCCACCGAATATTATACTTCTATAGCTGTTCGTTGGAAGATCTTTTTTCATAAGATTTACTGGACCATTGCATAAGCTATCTTTTGAGAAAAGGACTCAAGTATATACATAGCAATTTTAGAGAAATATTCTCGAAATATTGAGAGGCTCGCTTATTTTAGTAATACTAGTTAGATCAACATAATTTGTTTATTAATTATCAATTGATCACGAATATCATTTGATAAATGATTTATAAGATTGATTAGATATAATCTGTATATTCGGAAAATCGATTATTTCATTTATTTGTTCTTTCATATTATTTTCAATAATCAGGTTCTTCGTTTTTTTTTTATATGTCTAATTTTAAGTTTATTATGTTTTTGTAGAATGAAATAAATAATCTTAGATTACTCCTATAAATATAAATAAAACTCTTTTTATCGATATTAAACTGAGTGAATTAATTCATTTTCGAAACAATAATTATACTCTATGATGAAGTCTTCTATAGTCACAGAACGATTACTAGATCCTTTTCGTTTACTCATAAGATTTTCAATCATCTTTACTTGCACTTCTGAACAACTTTCAATTAAAAACTAGTTTTTCATTTTTTTTTGCTGAACCAATCGAGTACTTCTGTGATTTTCTGTCAAATTTCTTTATTCAAATAATACTGATAACGAATTTTTTTTATATAGATGATTGTATTTCATTTCCTTATTCAATAAAAAAAAACATTGTCGTTCTGATAGACCATTATTTCGACCAGTTCATACATATACATCATTGCAACATATAGCATAATCACCCATTTAATTTAAATCAGACAAAAACTGCCGATAAACCCTCGATTCTTATGAATACCGCAATGTATCAGCGATTATCCGAAAAAACATGTAACATCGGCAGACATGATAATTTCACTCTGATGCAAAAAAATAAAATAATAACTATGTTCATACAGTGTCGCATTATAACTAAAGGTCAACAAATAATTTTAATCAAAATAAAAAAACATGTTCCAATAATGAAATGTAGTATTTTGAAGACAATGTTGAGTTGCTAGAGCGTAATACATTCAAATAATATGCTTTTTATTTTGATATACAATCGAAATCTTGATGAATGATTCTGTTGTTACATAGTAAGAAGAAAAATTTCTGATTAACAAAAGTTTTTATTAGATAACAACTAATGATACAATATAATAACTATTAATCCATTAATATGGATTCACCATGTTGGTTTTTATTTTTGAAAATATAGAATTGTCTATTGATTTTGCTTAAACAATTTGTTATTCAAATAACGAAAACGACTTGCAGATGATTCGATTGTTGCTAATTCGTAATAGGGAAGCTAATGAAAAAAAAACAAAAAGAACTTTTCTATAAATAATTATATATATGCAAATCAACGCTTACAATAACAAGTCGATAACCGAGTTTTTTCAAATGACGAAATGAAATTTCAACTGAACCAACATAATGAGTTGTATTATGACAATAATGATTCGGTGTTGTTACTTGAATTGCTACTCTACATTCAAAAAACAAATAAACAAAAGAAATTTTATTAATTTAATTCATAAATCAAGATTATTATTAACCGTTCACATCCATCAGGAATATCAAGTTCTTTATTTCCATTAATATTCTTCATTAAATCATATTGATCACATGGAACTGGTTGACAATTATCTAATCGTAGAATACATTCAAAATCTAGAATAATACTCAATCAAGAATAATATAATATATTAAAAAACTAAAACAAAATTCATACCAATTTCATGAAAATATGGAGAAAGTGTATGAGTTTGAAGATATTTTTTGCCACCAAGCATTGTTGTCAAATTTGATTCAATATAATCAAATGTAGTATTTCGAATCATCCAATGACGACGCATATCTATACAAATATTAAAAAAAAAAGTTAAATTTTTTTGTTTTCGAAATCTTGCTTTTATATTATTTAATTAAAAAAGAAAATAATATATCAATTATATTAAAGGATATATAGTTTATTTTTTGTTTAGAATCTTATATCACTATAAATTGTCTACGACAATCGATGTTCAAATTCTCGCAATTCATATTACTTTTAATTGGTATATTAAAACTACGAAAAAAATCAATTTAATATGTCTGTATAGCAGAGTTTAAGTGCTACATATATATATTCATATTTAATACAAGAAATGCTTGAATATAAAATACAGTGGATAAGTAGAAATTGAAGTACTAATAAAGAAAGATCCCTAACTGATCCATGCCATTTTCAATGATATTTTGTCGATATGCTGGGAACATTGTTTCAAGAAAAAGCCTTAGAGAGTTTGAGCTTACTTCGAAGATTATGATTATTTTACTGATTTTTCTCCACCTACCACAAGGTATATACAGAAAAATTGAACAACAGAATGTCAAGCTGAAATTTTGCTCATATGTAGTTCTCATGATCATTGGAACTACATCTGAGTAACATTTCAGATCGAAATTCTGTTGTTCAGTTTTTCTGCATATATCTTATGTTATGTAAAAAAAAAGCAGTAAAATGGTCATAACCTTCGAAAGTGAGCTCTATCAGCCCAAACCCTCTTAGAACTTTTCCTAGAATAGAGTCGCCAAGTGTTACTCTAATTCGTAATGAACTAGATGTAGTGTATTTAGTTGTTATCCTATGAGTTTAGTATTTGATAAAGAAACAAATTCATAATATATTAAAAACAAAACATATGATAATGTATAATCTGATGGATTAGTAGAGGCAATGTTGACGCCTACTCAAGCAGTAAAACATATCAGTTCATTATCCGATGCATTAAACGATATAGCGAGTGATACAAAACAATAGAAAAAGAAACTATTAAACACTATTATGATCATTATAGTATAACACGTAGACAAGATGTGTATATAGATCATCTATTTCCATGAAATTATTATTATTCCTAATAAACTTATAACAACAATGTCATGCTATCATTTTTTTTGCTAGTACTCTAATTTCTATTTATCCAATGTGTTTTATTGTCGAGTAAGATAAAAATTGTTATCGATTCAAAGTTATCGGATGCCTCCCAGGAAGAGGTATTGGAGTCTCCAGGATTAAAGATTTCTTTTTACAGATATTGGGTGTTGCTTGAGTTGCCTACTTGTTTCGATTTCATTTAATCTCCTTTTGATCGAGTAAAAACACAAAGATCCTTCGATCATCCTAAAAAATACATATTTTTTTGATGGTTTTGTTAACCGACACTTTTTTATAAACCCTGACAAAAACTAGCGGTACATCATATTTAAAAATTATGAAAAAACTCATTTTTCAAAAAAAATTGAAATCATGTGTAGGTTTTCACGTTATTCAATGAAAATGTTTAATCTTTTCCAACTTTTATAGTTATATATTTATTCGTAAGATATGTCTAGTAGATAGAGAATATTTCCAAGTGTATATAGAGTAGAAAAAAACTAAAATTTTTCCGTTAGCAGAAGAGAGGTGATCTTTTAAGCTCTCCTATAGAAACATGTAATTATATTAAATAAATATTTGTATAGTTTTAATTATGGATATAATGGTAACGATAGTCACCCGTCTAAGATAGAGCATTGCACTTATGCAGTAATGTTGAAGACAGTGAACGCATGATAAAACTATGATGATCTTAGACTTATTTCGAATTTTTCAGTCGAAGAAGACCTATGTCAAGAAAATAGCCTTCGCGATCGAAAACATCCAAAACCACGATCATTTTACCATGCATTGAACATCTTCTCCATTAGTCTATCTGTACATAAGGCCGAAGTATCATTACCATTGGATTCCTCATTCTAATACACAACTTCAAAATAAAAATTTCCTGTGAGAATTTTGACGTCGATTGTAACAAAAAAAAAAAAAAAAAGAAGAAATCAATATCTATTAAATTACCTGGTAAAGCAATTTCTAATCCAAATCGATCATTAAACCAAGGAATGTTTAATTGTGGATGATCAATACACACAATTTGATTTAAACGAAATAATGGTTGACCAAGTTGAATAGAATTTTTTTTTAATGATAGATGATCAACACTACCAAGAAATGATAATGAAAAAATATCATTTAATAATTTTTCATCTAATTGATTTAATAAACCAGTACTTGTCATAGCTAACCATAACATATCAATTGGACGTATTTCATCTTCATTCTCATAAAGATGACGAGATAATGAACATAAATCATTTATTTGTTCGGGTTTATAATTAATTTTATATAAACAACGAAAAAAAGTTGCAATTAATCTTAATGATGTTGCTTGTGTATCAATTAATGTTGAACACATTGAATCAAGTAATGTTGTATAAAAACGTGTTGTATGAGAAAATAATAATGATAAATTATTTACATCACGTAAACTTAATAATGTTTGATTATCAAATGAATTTAAACGTTCAAAAAATGGTTCTAATAATGGTGTATCAATATTATAACGTGATGATGTTATATGACTTAAAAAATTTACTAAATGACTAAATGGATATATTGATAAATTTGATAAATGTTCCATTTTATGTTGAACAATTATTTCATGTAATTGTTTTATTTGACGTTGAAATGTTATATTAGCTGCATCGGATGTTGCTAATAATGCTGCATTATAATATCCTTAAAAGTAAATTAATTGAATTTGCAATATATCACAAATAGACAAAAGAGAAAACTACGTTTTCGTTTTGTTCGAATCAAATTAAACATTTAAGAAAGAAAATATTAGAAACTAAATTTTTCAGAGTATTACAGGAAAATGTTTTTTTCTTTTTAACTTATATACAATAATAATGAATAATTTTCAGTTCTAGACTAATAAAATTTCTATGAAGCTTGGCATTGTAACTTCAACTTCCTTTCAAATGGAACTGCAACTAAAATTGGAAATAAAGAAAAAGATTAATTTCGGTTCGCGTTAAATCATAAGCTTTCAAAGTTTGTTTTATGTTGAAAAATAAGTATATTACATCGTTTACATTCAAATCAAATTTTATGTAGGAACTGAAAAATAAAGAAACTTAACGTTATATGTATGATCTTAAATGAAGAAATTTGCTTTCAAAACTCTATCTATTCAATTAGAGATATTGTTGTAACTAAATTAATTTGAATCGTGCATTCCTATCATTCAAAAAGAAATCTCTTATCCGAATATATGATTGATGAGAATAACGATCAAATGTTTTTAGCTTTATGACCCTAATGAACTATGAATATCATGAGAAGAGCTCGAACTCTTAATTTTTACTGCCGAGATATTGCATTTTTACTATACTTTTTAAATGAATATCGAAGCCCCTGAGAAACACCAGGAAAGCTGATTTTCAAATTTTGACTTGAAATTTTTCATGTAGACTGACCTCATCGAGAATAGTTTTTTTGTGGACGTTTCGGATCATTTCGTTGTTCCTATCCTAAGATACAGATATGATAAAAACTTGTCTTTTACATTGTTCATATACATCGACGCAGATTTGATGTTCTTACTTCAGGAAAAGAACAAATCAAAAGACCTGAAAGTTTCACAATAAACTATTGCCGTTATGATCTGTGTCTATGCAAAGTTTCAATTCGTAATTTGAACATGAGTTTTCCTTGTGTTTCTGATGGGAAACACGACATTGACTCAAAAATACCTTAAAAATGCAGTATGTCACCAACAATAAGCTAAGAGTTTGAACTATTTTCAGAGTATTCATAGTTCATTAGGATCTACTCGATGCACATAGTCCAGACTTCAAAATGATTAATTAGTTAAATAAATTTCCTCGTAAGAGAATATGAACTCATTTTATGCTTTGATTGACACATAGAAGTTTTACTGAAATTTCTTTGCAGAAATATAATGTTTCAATAGTATTATATTTCAAACTTATAACGTCAAACCTTACTCTAAATAGACCATCTTGTATAAAATATTTTCGAGTTTTTGCATGTAGTATCATTAAGATTTAGATTTTTGAAAATATAGGTTCTTTTGTTTATATAACTTAGCCTAGTTGAGGTGTTGATGTGAATAAACTTTTCGGTTAAAACTTTGAAATACAATTTTACTGGAAAATTTTAGTGCAATTTCTATATCTGTAGTGAATCGCAACATGAACTCATAACTTCTGAATAAAGACCGTTCAGTTCAAAATTTTTGAAGCTGAATCCTATGTATACTCCTGATTTCAATGGAATTTTAAAATCTAACTCCGAAAGTCAGTACATAGATATAAGATACTTTTCTGCTGATTATTTGTACTCTGTTATTAACACACCATACATATTTCTTCGACAATCTTATAATAATCAAGTCATCATTAGTTGTTACTTTTAAAGTATGACTCATTGAATTGGGTTTCGAAATCAATTCAACAGCTCTACCTATTAGATTTTTTCTGATTTATTGATTCTCTATATATGAACCAAAAGATTTGAATCCTTTGTAAACTATTTCCTTATTAATTTTGAACATAATTCTAGAAAAAATAGTTAATTCTTTATTTTTGTTTTCTTTTCGATCGTCGATTTTTATCATTGAACTCGAATAAAAAAAATCAAATGAAGATTATTTATTTATTCTAATTCTTACCGGCAAGAAGTGTTCCAGTATCTTTTAAACTTGCTTGAGATATCATTCTATCAGCATTGATCATAATATTTCTTGGAATAGCAGTTCCACTCAAAGCATATTTTAAATAAAATGTTAAAATTGCTAAATATTGATCACGTATAAACCATGTTTCATTTGCATGTGATTTTTTACGTTCAATTTCAGCACGTAAATGCATTATAAAATCAGCACCAGCTGATTCTGATGTATAATAATCAATATTTTTATTAATATGTTCTGTTAATACATTAAGCATTGGCCAAAAATCACTTTCATCTAAATAAACAACAAAACAAAACAAAAAAAAAAGATGATATAACTTAATTTTTCTTTTAAAATTTACATTCTTCACTTGATAATGATATATCTTTTAATTTTTGATGTATATATGCTAATAATTCCCAATCATTACATGTATCAGGATTAACATGATGAAATAAAAGACTTATTTCATGTGGATCAAAATTATCTAAACACATATGTAATCTTCTATTTAATCGAAGTTTTAATTTTATTTTTGAATATCTATATAAAGCACATGTCATATAAAGAGTATCATGATCAACAAGAATATTATTTTGATCAAGTTCATTATTACATCGTATTACAGCTAAATCAAATAGATCATTTAATGGACGAAAATGTCTAAAATAAATTTAAATAAAAAATTTTTATTTTTATTTTTTGCTTTTTTTTATGATAAAACACAAGAAAACCTTTTAGCTGATGTTAATATTAAATAAATATCAAACCATAATATTCGATTTAAATTAAGACTCCAATTTAAAAATGTATGTGGTATCCATCGTTTCATTTGTATAGGAAACATTCCACCTAATGTTAATAAACGAACAAATGTATCTGGACCTGCAATTGGAGCAAGTTTTTCAATATGTTCATCAATTATATTTGAAACAATTGTTAATAACTATTTTATAAAAGACAAAAACAAAAAAAACCTAACGTTCGTTGAATAAATGATCAATAAAGCATACGTGCTTGTGTATCATCAGTTTGAGTATTTGATAATGGTATTGCCATACCTAAGAGATGCATTATACCAATAGTACATTTCATTGTTGTTGCTGTATGTGAAGATCCAATTACAGATAATAATTGACGAAATCTTTCAAGTAATGGTTTATATAATGGAAGAACTAAATATAAAAAATATATCTATATTTAATTTTATTCGTTATTTCATGAACATCTTGTTTTAGTAGTGACAAAAATCTCTACATCAACCAATCTCAACTACTTTATGTACTGAAAGTCTAAAAATTTGTGTACATATACTTAATAAAAGTCTCTTTGTGATAAAGTAATGATGGCGTCACAATGTCAAATGACTTATATTCTAGGTGAAAAAGATGTACACAAATTTTCAGACCTTTAACAAATACAATGACTGAGATCGGCTTGGACAGAGACTTTTGTTTACTACTGTACACATATAGAAGATAAAATGTATTATTAAACAAAAAGAAAAGTTTGTTAGCGCAGCCTCTTTAAAATTAAAATTGGGAACGTACATGTCTTCTTTAGTTTCATTGCACTAATATTCAATATACAAAGTGAAAAATGTCTAACAGATGATAATTATTTTTGAACAATAATGAATCGTCAGAGAACGTTCTGTCTTATTTATTTGTCTTGTTGAAAATCGGAGAAAATTATTGTCTAATGCATCAGTATTCGAAAGCAATATAAATTGGGTGTACGCACTGTAAAGTTTTTGTACCGGGAGAAATGCACAAAAATATTGTCGATTTCGACCGATTTTTATATAATAGTCATATTTTGAGACAAGTTGATAAATTTATACAGAACTCAAAATTATTTGCTACGTGACAGACATTAGTGTAGAGTTGTAAATCGTAACAACTCTCAATCAATGTGATATGATCATTGGATTTCATTAGAAATTCAAGTTCGTACTATGTTGTTGTTGAAAAATAAACAAACTTATATTGCTTTCGAAGGCGGCGGCGGCGGCGGCACAGACTTTTTATCTTTTGAGATTTTAGTCATTGAATAAGTCATAAGATTAATTCTACTTTTTTGATTATATTTTCAAAATCTTTTCAAGTTCATGTCTTCTCGCAGTCGTACTGCCACTATACACATTTGTTATATCTGAAGCAGATCATAACGTATCTCAATAAACTTAGAAACACTGATATTAATTATTCCCGAAAGTTAGAACACTTAATCAGCTCATGCTTCTATGTTTGCCCATATGACAACAATCCATTACTAGTCATCTATCGTATAAAATCGTTTGCTTGCGCAAAAATTAGAAAGTTCGCTATTGAAAATATTGAAAAACATATTCCAGTCATTTAAATTTCAAGAAAGAGTTCGGCATGTTCTAGAATCATCTAAGTCTTGTTGTTAATGCCATTTAACGTCTTTTTCTATTGTTAAGATGCTGACGGAGGGAAGAGTCAACAACACATCGACTATTATTTTCTTCGAAACTATACGTAAGTTCCATAAAGAAAAGAATAGTAAGAGCTTAATGGTTATAATAAAAGCTTCGTTATTCTAAACTCATAAAGAAGAAAAACATTTTGAAGATTTATTTCAATTTATTTTTTACAAATAGTATGACCAATTTCTCTAAATATTCTTGATTTTTCAAATAATTATTTTAAAATAAAACAACTTACGTAAATGTCGATTTGATTTTTTAACTAATGCAATAAGAAAACGATTTAATAAATTTAAATCAAATTTTTCTATATATTCAGTTTGTGCTAATGCTGTAAATAAATGACGTAAAAATGGACTTTCACTTGATGACATACGTATATCTAATTTAACTAATGATGACATTATATTAACATGATCTTCAAAATTTAATTCAAGTAAACGATGTTCACATAAATGACATAAAAGATCAAATATAGGATGATTTAAAAGTTTTTGACGATATTTTTCCATATTTATTGGATGAAAATAAGCACATGAACGTACTATATTACATGCACGAAGTAATGCTGCTGCTATATGTTGAGCTCGATGTTGAGGTAAATTAGCGCGAACAAGTGGAAATAATATTGACAAAGATGAACATGATTGAATTGATTGCATTAATGAATCATTAACAAATATTTTTGTTTTAATAGAATCTTCTTCATCTAATTGACATTGATCATGAGATGTATAAGTATCAGTTAATGTACGAAAGTAAGGTTTTATTGTCCATATATTTTGTTTTAGACGATGAAGAAATAACGAACGATAACAAATCAAATACATAGATTAGAATAGATCTTTGTTGTTATCTTTTTTATTGAATATAATTCTAGAATATTTATTAAATATTATCAAAATATTTTTTCATTATAAATTATTATTATGAAGTCTTTACTTCTTAAAGTTATTCTAGAAGAGCAACTGATGTAACAACCATTGAAATGGAGTCATTCGTTTCTCCAATATGTCAATAGTATGAATAGATCGATCAGATACACTTGCGTTTGGAATGGTAGTTTCATTACTTCAGTGATCTTTAAGAGAAGAAAGACTTGACAAAAATTCTTCTGAAGACTTTCAATAAATCTGATGTAGTTCGGCTAAAAGAAAAAACATCGTACAGAGATTAGAATGTTCTCATTTTGTACAGAACTCTTCGGGCAATCATTACGCGTGACAGAAGAAAAATTTGATAACTAAGTTGTAGACGCAAAAAAAATCTAGAGACTTGATTATCTAGAAACAGATATTCATATCACTTGTAATGATGATCGATTACACAATACATTCCTATCATGTATTTTCTTTTATTTGTAGGAAAACATTTTATTATTTTAAAAAATCTTTATTCCAAACTTATCAATTTAATAATTCATCTTTTTCATAGATGGAACAACACAAAAAAACGAAAGCTTTTTTTTAGTAATTATATTTTCTCAAACTTTTTCAATTTCATATGAAAGATTAAGAACATCCGGAATAACAGAAAAACATTTATTTTTTTTTTTAGTTTTTATCATAACACAAACATCTTAGAATATGTGAATAAATCAAAAAAAAACCTAGACATCCTTCCTATTTTTTTCCTCTTCTACATATTTTTTTTGGCTACGGACGAACGACTCGCCTATCATAATGATAAATAAATATGTATTTTATGTTGTTATTTTGATTACCATGAATAATTTATTTTTCATTCATGATTATTATTATGAAGTAAATAGAAAATTGTCCTAGAAAATATGAGTAAATTTTTTCAACGTGTAAGAAATGTATTCAGAAAAAATGGTTCGTAAGTGAAACATAAATAAAAACAAAAATTATTTTTCTTCTTGCATATAACTTTTAGTTCTCAAAATATAACAAATAATACAGCTGAGGATTTCAATGATGAACAAATAAAGGATACTGATACAAGATTAACTTATCGTCAAGTAAGATAATTTCAATTCAGTTATTAATTATCATTATTATTATTATTTTTCGAAGAATGAAGATTTAGATAGTGTTAGCGATGAAACTGAGAATATAAATAATAATAATAATTCATCACAACAAAAAAATCTTAAACAACAAGTAAAATTATTTGTATTTAGTAAATTATGTTTACATCTTTTCTTTTTATTTTTTTCTAAGCAAAAACAAACAACATCATTAGAGACAGATTCTTCGTCAAATTCATTGAGCCTTCATAATTCTGAACTAAGAAAACGGCCAAATAATTTTCAATCTGGTTTATCACGTAATAAAAACGTGAATAGGAATATAAATCCTTCAGTAAATAACAATGCTGTTCTGATTAGAAATTCCACTACACAAAAACGCTTATCATCTCAATCACAAAATTCTTCTTCTTCTTCTCGTTCACAATCATCTATTAATAATCTTCCTTCTGAACAATTAGCAATACCTTCAAAAAATCAAATTCTTCAATCACCTTTACATGATAATTTCTTAACTCCTATGAATCGATATCGACGACCATTTCCAATCAAACCTAATTCAACTCTTGTCGGTTTTTCTCAAAGAAATCCATCACATCTACGTTTCAATCAACAATTACAAAATTCATCGTATAATTTTAATAGACCTTTCTTTTCTAATCAATTAAATCGACCTTTTTTCAAAAATCGTTTATTACCATTTCAATCACAAAATAAAATTTCTAATTATGAAATTGATTATCCAATTGAAAATGTTTTATTCGATAAAAATATTCCTTCAACAATGGCTATTAAAATAAATGAAGCTGTCGAATATGATCGTTTTGGTAATACTTATTATAATCGTCATTATGCATATGAACCATCAATTCAACATATTAATATAGGTAATCGTCAACAAATTGATCGTCATCTTATTGAAAATTCTCGTCCTGAAGGTATGAGATATATACGTGAAATTAATAATAATTATGATTGTTATCCACAAAAAACAAATGATAAAATTTTTCAAAGAGAAAATTTCAATAATTTACAATCAATAATTAATGATATACCTCAAGTAAATTATCAAATAATATCTTCTAACGATAATTTTAATTGTTATCCAATATCTATAAATCATTTTACGGCATGTGCTTTACCTAATGATCCAATGCGAATTGAATAAAACAAAAGAGAAAATGCGAGATTCATTTATTTTAATAAAATAAATAAATAAATAAATAAATAAAATTATTGCGGGATAAAATTTAATGCAGCACCATTTATACAATAACGAAGACCGGTTGGCATAGGTCCATCGTTAAAAACATGACCGAAATGTGCATTACACTTTATTAAAGAAAAGAAAATGTTGGTGTTTTTGTTTTTTCTTTTATTTCTTTTGCATACCTTTGCACAATGAACTTCAGTTCGAGGATACATTAAACTATAATCTTGTTTTGTAGCAATATTAGCTAAATTATATGGAGAATAAAAACTAGGCCAACCAGTTCCACTATTAAATTTATGTTCTGAACTAAATTTCGATAAGAAATAAATAACAAAAATAATTTACTTATTATTTATTCAAATAATACCTGAATACTGGTGTATTACAAACAATACAGACATATAAACCATGTTGTTTGTTACTATTTAATGGACTAGAATATGGTGGTTCTGTACCATGATATTGAGTGACTTTTAAAGCCATTGGAGAGAGATGATTTAAATTCATTTTATCTTTTGATAATGAATTAGGATCTAAAATAAATTTATTCAATTAAACAACATTATTTTCATATATATACAATTACTTTCTTCTGTTGTTGTTGATGATGATAAATCTTTTTGAAAGATATTTGAAAAAAATTTGAACATATTTTATATATGCATCTAAACTAAGAATTATTTTGTCATGATATAAAAATATATTTAGTTTTTTTTTGATAATATCAAAACTATGATTATCTTATACTCTAAAAATAGGAAATATGCGTTATATCATAAATGATTTCTATCGTGAAATGTTTTTTTTTTTGTCAGAGAAAAACGCCATCTATATGCATTGAGTAATAAAATTATTATTCGTTTATTTCATAAACAAATCATATATGAAATTCGAATTATTTGTCTGTCTGTCTCTACTTGTCGGTCGTTTTTTAATTAAAATCAAAATTCGTTCATTTATTTGAAAAAAAAAGTTCAATTTTCTATTCAATGTGGGTTAGTTTATTATTTTCTATTGAAAAAAAAAAATTATTTTTATTTATTTATTTAGTTCGGAATAAGAGAATAACCTTACAAAAAAAACCAAATAGAAAAGATAAAGTCTTTATCGAATTGTTTTGTTTTGCATTTTTATTTTGTTGAGATTGTCATAGAATCAAAAGCAAAAAAAAAATATACATTCAATATTCATTTTAATGTAAAATACGGCGACGATCATTCGTTTTTTTTTTTTTGAGTTTAATAGTTAAGATTATTTGAAGAACATTCCCTTGTAATACAGTTATTTTATTGTTTCTCTCTTGATGATAATAATAACTATCATAAGTTTCTCTTTTCTTAATTCGATTTGAGATATAAAAGTTAATTAAAACAAAAAAAAAAACTCATTCAACTTTCGTATCTATTTTGAAATTTCTTTTTTTGTTTTGTTTTGATTTAGATATAAATTATTACAATGTACATTTTATAAATAAATAATGTATGTATTTAGTTTATGTACCGATAGAAAAAGAAAAGAATGTTTTATATTAGAAGATAGTTATTTATTTTTAGTATCAATTTTGAATTAAAAAAATATAAAAATTTTCTTTTAGATGTTAAAATGAATATTGAATTACTTTCAACATTTCAACAAAATTATCCTGAAGAATTCGATGGCACACTTGATTGTGCATCGATGGCTGTTTGTTGTGCTTTTAATAAAATTGGTAATTATTTATTTCAAAAACAAAACTCTTAATTTTCTTATTCTTTTCTTTTTATTTTATAAAATAAAGGTTCAATGTTAGCTGTCGGCTGTTCTGATGGTCGTCTTGTTATATGGGATTTTTTAACACGTGGTATAGCAAAAATAATATGTGCAGATTGGTCACCTATATATTCTATATCATGGTCGAAAAAATCCGATTTAATAGCAACATCATCAACAGATAATACTGTATGTATTTGGTATACAGCAACAGGTCGTTGTCATACACGTATATCATGTATACAATCACCAATACTTAGAGTTCAATTTCATCCACGTAATTCATCTTATTTACTTATATGTCCAATGAAACATCCACCAGTATTAATTGATAATAATGGTAAACATACAATAGTTACAATTGATGATGAACCAAATGATATAATATCAACATTTGATAGAAAAGGTGAACATATTATATTAGGTAATAATCGTGGTTTAATTGTTGTTAAAACATTTCCGGATTTAAAAACTATTTCATCATTTCGAATTACAACTGGTACAAATGCAAATACAGTTTTAAGACATATTGAAATACCTCGTCGAGGTAAGATTATATATATATATATAAAGATTTCTATATTGTATAGTCCTGCGAGAAAAAGAAAAATTAGTATATATTCATTGATTATGAAAATCATGTCTTGTGATTATTTGAATCGATTAAATTATTGTGGGATGCATGTCGAAGAAAAAAAAAATGAGAATTGAATTTGATTGACGAAGAAACTGTCTGAAGTGATTCGTTACTACTTACTGAACTCATATTTTGGGTATATAGAATAGATTTCTAGAAGAAATTGATGAATTCAAATGATTCCTATAATAGAAGCTGATTTAATTAAGGATATCTTCCTTTTCGGGATTTCTCAAGTACTTGAACAGTGGATAGATGAATGCATCTTCGACTCATACAACACATTTAACCAATGAAATAATGGACTTAGTACAGATTATGTACTAAATAGGAAAGAGCTAGAATGTGTTTTTTTTTGCGATAGTGATTTCGAAAAGTCAGACTTTGTTAAGTTCTACACAATAATCAAAACTTTTCGTTTATGTAGTGATCGAAAGAAGGGCGCTTGAGTATCTCCTTAGAGGTAAAAAAATCGACATCAACAAAAAGACAGTTTTCGAGGTCAGGAAAATGTGTAAGATACTCTCGAGACAGATCCGAATTCCGCTAGTCATGAACTCCTAGAACTTTCAAAAGTGCAATTTGACTCTCGGAACGAACTTGCAAAACTCAAGAATCTGTTGAAATTTAGGTATCAAATCAATCCTAACATTTCAAACAAAATTGACATCATCAGACTTTGCTTATCCACAAATATGAGTATACCTGTCGGCATAGGGAACCAAAAATTAAATCCACACCCTTTCGAGGGTTCTAGAAGTTCAGAACTCGCAGAATCTGACTACTGCTGAACATTCTTATCATTAGAAATTATTTCAACGATTTCTTTTTTTTTTCAATATTTAGGTCAATATTGTCTAATTAATACAAGTGATCGAATAATTCGAATTTATAATTATACAGATATGTTATCATGTGGTATTGTTCGTGATCTTGAACCTAAACAAAAACTTCAAGATTTAGTTAATAAATCTTTATGGCGAAAATGTTGTTGGTCAGGTGATGGTGAATATATATGTGGTGCATCATCTCGACAACATTCATTATATATATGGGAAACAATATCGGGTAATTTAGTTAAAATTTTACATGGTACAAAAGGTGAAACATTAGCTGATGTATGTTGGCATCCTGTACGTCCAATTATAGCAAGTATATCAAGTGGTGTTGTATCTATATGGTCACATTCTCAAGTTGAAAATTGGTCAGCATTTGCACCAGATTTTCGTGAACTTGAAGAAAATGTTGAATATCATGAACGTGAATCAGAATTTGATATTAAAGATGAAGATCGTAGTTTAGATAGTTTTGATTATATCAATTCACCTAATAAACGACAACGTTTAGATATGAATGGAAATATTAAAAAAATCAATAATGATGATATTGAAATAGATGTTGTTACTGAACAACGTATTGAAGCATTAGTATCAAGTGATGATGATGATATTAATGATCAACTTGTTTATTTACCATCAGCACCCGATATTGAAGATCCAGAAATTGAATCTTCATCATCAACAGCAACAACAACAACAACAACAAAAAACCAAATATTAACACATAATTTTATTGAAACTGATCAAAAATATGAAATACAATTACAAACACCACCTGTTTATGATACACATCCATATTTTGGTGGAACAAAACAAACACGATCAATAGGAAATATAATATTAAATAATCAAGATATAAAAAAAGATGGTAGACATCGTCGTAAAGGACATCATAATGAAAGTGATCAACAAAATATTTTATTACCAAAATCAATTGATGCAGCTGTAGCTACACTTACAAATAATTCAAAACGATTTATATCGACCAATGGTAATTCAACTATAGTAACACAAACAACTGAAAATAAAGGACAACGAGGACGTTCAGCACGTCTCGAAGGAAAAAAAACAACTACTGGTCAACATAGATCATCAACAGATAATGATATTGATTTTGTACCACATTAGAAAATTATTTTTCGATGAAAGAATCTCTTATGAATGAATACTTCTTTTTTTGTGATCTTTTGTTTGTTTGTTTTTTTTTTTGTATAGATTATTATTTTTTTCTCTCTCTTGGTTGTAAAGAAATGATTTTTTTTTTGTGTTCATAAGTAAAAGATTATCAATGATGTAAGAAAAACAAAAAATCTTTTGTTAGAATTGTAAAATAGAATATTCAAATGTATTTATATAGAAAATTTTCCATAATTATGTAATCAAGTAAGAAAAGAATATCACTCTCAACTATAGAACAATATTTTAAAGATGTAAACAAAATTGAACTTTACAACAGGTACATGTCGAAAGTTTTTAGATAAAATGTTTCTACATTTTTTTCCATTGATTAAGATAATCAGTAGAAAAGTATTAAACATATGAATCCGAATTTATACTCACAATTTTTGTAAGACTCATAAGTCAGAAGGTTCAGGATAGAGGTAACATTTATTCTAAATATATCAATAGAAAAGGTAAACATTCCTCTACAAAAGGATCTCATCAACTTTCTCTAAGGCATCATTTAACAGCAATAAGAGTTTCGATAAGCTTTACAATGATATCTTCGCAATTCCTCGATTTTCAGGCTTATAGAGTGAACTCATAAAGAAATCTTCTCAGATGTTTCCTTCCGATTTCAATGATTTTTTGGTTAGTTCTAATAAAAACCGTAGAACGATTTCGGTTCCTATTCAGATTTTCGGAAAACTCGTCTTTTCGAATTTTGATCTGAAACTTCGTGCATATAGAAAACTCAACTAGATTGGCTTTCGTAAAAAAATTCAGAAATTTTGAACAAGATATAGATCCTTTACCATGAATAGTGTGTACAACATGCATTTTTTGAAAGTTTCATATCTCGAAGGGATTTTGTCCAAAACTTCTGGATTTTTATGAAAACTAGTCTAGTTGAATTTTCTATATGTACCAAGTCTCAGATCAAAATTTAAAAATAGGAATTTTACGAAAACTTGGAGCCTCTACAAAGTAGACATATTAAAAATTCAATAGCTTGGTCGAATATCAATAAAGAACATATTTAGTGAGAAGGAAGTTTATTATCTACGTATTGATTGAAAACTTGAAGCAGTCAAGGAAAACAAAGTAGGATTAGAGGAAATAGGCGTTTTTTACGAAAATAACAAGAAAAATCATTGAACAATAATATGAAGTCAATTTTCAATAGAATATGATCGCATTCTTTGTCTCAGAATCAACCACACAAAAATTCTGATTCTAACTAAATGTTTAATACTCTCAACTGACTTCTTTTAATCGATTGACAAATGAAGAAATATTTTGTATAAAAACTTTTGATATACCTGTTATGTACTCTTTTCATTAGTTTGTACGTTGTTGATGAGAAAAGAATTTTTTCTACCGTGAACAATTCAAACATTAAAAACAAAGCTAAAAGCAAACATGATTTAAGCTTTTTGAAATTTTAAACAAGTACAAATTGAGATATTTTGATTCGAATCACATTGAGATTTGCTAAGAACAGTTATCCATATAAGATAAAGATGACTTTTCGTACGTACTGATAACTATCAAAGACTAAAGGTATAGTAAGAGTTCACCTACAATCAACAATGCTCTTTGTTGTTTCTTTTTGGATAAAATAAGACACATAATAGTTTATTTTAACAAAAGGTTATGTACTAAAAGTAATACACATTTTTAGAAGGAAAATAGACAGTCACGAAGGATAATATTAATAATTGAGAGGGAGATTAATGAAAATTTCTTAAATATATTCACTGATCATAATGTATAATAAAAAAATAAATAAAATCTCCAAAATGCAAGTACAATTTGTTAAATTCATTTCATCAGAAAACCTTTTGAAAAGTTTCGTTAGATCTAGATCGAAATGGATTTCTCACTTTTTTTTTAAATACAAGAAAAAAACCTACTTTCTTATGTATACTATACTATGATTGATTTTCATTTGTTAGCCGACTTAAGTATGATATGAAAGAAACATATGATTATTCTTTTTGCATTATAAGAAAGGGTTTGAATCGATAAATATTACATTTAATATTGACTTTTTCCTGAGTTCATGCTTATGAGAGTATCAACTGAAGAAATTCATTATGTATTTAATCTCATATTTTGGATATCCTAGAGAAATCTTTTAGATTAGAATAAACCCAAAGAGATTCAGTATTATCGATAGAGTTATGATAGTTTTGTTGGATTATAATTATACGATGAATTATGGACAAGAAAATTGGACAATAGATTTTTGTCTTGAAATTTTCTCTAAGTAAGTCTCATTATCTTAAAATGATGGCTTCCTTGTTAGAATAGTCCACAGGTAAAATCATCCGATTCTTCTGAAATCTAGTCAATGTTTATACATTTTATATTTCAAATAAAGTCTTGCATCGAACTCCGACAGGGTCGGAGTCACATTAGTAAAACAGGTAAAAACTTTTACTCTTACATAGTCACAAGGTTTTTCTTCATATGTTAATCAATGAACAAAAATATACTACTCTATAAGTTCATAAGTTTCAAGAAGGAAAAAAACATCACGAAGACATTCTCATTAACAAGTAGCACTCAAAGTATATATGCCAGCCAAAACGTTTGACTTCACAGTGCTCTAGTTTCAATCAAGCGGGAACAAATTGATTTCTATCATCAGAAATGCATAGGAATGAAGAGAAACTGAGACAAATCAAATATTTACTTTTAATCTTATAATTGAAGATCTTTTATGATTTAGAGTGGTTTTCATTTATTTCTCATAGTTTCTAGTAAGGAAATCATTTTCTTTTCAATATTTCATCCGATCATTAAAATCCAGCAAATCCATGATAATTCTATCAAGAATGCTTACAATCCTGGATTTCTTTCGGGTTAATCTAATCCAACTGTATTCTGTATATGCAATAAATATGAGCTCAAAAATAATGTGAATAATTTATGATGGTTTGTTCATTCGCTTTATCAAGATATTGAAATTGAAACTTTGATGATTACACATTGTTATTAAAACATCAATAAATCATTTTTCAATTTTTCCAATTCGATTAAATATTTCTGAAAAAAAGAAGCGTTTTGTCAAAGCATATTTATTAAACTACAGTAAATAATGTTCAAATAAAAATTATTCATTTCTTGTTAATTGTTCACGAATCGAATGAAATATCATTTTTATTTCATTCATACAACTTGTATGTTCATTAAATATATTACAATGATCAAAAGGTGGTATATAAAGATGTAATGTAATTACTTTTTCTGTGTGACTCGGATTTTCAATACGATGTAAACCAATTGAATCATTAATATAAGTGACTTGTCCTTCAGTTAATTCAACACGATTAAAAATATGCATTGATTCTGTTTTTTCAAATGTTGGCCAAGCATATCGTGTTTCAATTAATGTACCTTGTAAACATTTTAAAAAACAATGTGAATTTGTATGATCATGTATTGATGAACCTTGATTTTCGGCCCAACATAAAATCATTAAATTAAATTTTCCATTTCCATTATCAACTAAACTTCTTGTATAATGATCTGATTGAAATTTAATATATGGTAACCATTCATTTATTGTACCTTTATAATTATTCATAATTGTATAAATATAATCAATATCAATTTCATTTGTAGAAAATGCATTATGAAGTAATTCAATTAATTCATCTAGAGAATTTGGTTGAATCGATAAATAAGATGTATTATTATTATCATCGAATGATTTCTTATGAATTAATTGAATTTCATTTGATTTATTCAATGTTTCTGTCATTGTTTTTTTTTTTCTTTTTTATTGAATAAGATCAAGATTATTTAATTTAAATAACACTGAAAGATTTAATGTTTATGTCGGATACATGCACTTTATATACATATTTTCTTTTTTATCCTATGTCAAAAAACTAAATTGATAATCTTTAATCAACATGAAAACAAAAAATCTTTTGATCTTATTTATATGTCAAATATAAAATTGTAACAAACCGGAAGTAACAAAATAGAAGTTCAGGGTTATAATGTTAAAATAAAAGAATTTAATTTAGTTGCAAAATATTATTTTATTATATTCAAAAAATCAAAATATATTATCTAAGTTATTTCTTTTCTATTTTCATTATCTCTCAAAATTCTAATATCGAATTTCCAATATTTTCTTACACAATCGATATTTAAAAAGTCTTGTATTCCAGATGTCCTTACATACAAATCGGTTGATCTATTTATTCGTTGCTATTCTCTTCCAACCATTCTCAACTGAATCATTGTTCTTGCTTGACAACCAAATATTCAAACAAAAAGATATTATTCTTGTTGTTCAAATGGCATCTGTAGCAATTAATTCTATAGATTTTGAAGAAGAAGTTAAAAAAGCTCGCGAATGTTATATGTGTAGGATTATTTTTTTTTTTTAATTTTCTCTATTATAAAATTCAATACATCTTTTGATTTAGATGGTGATTATGGAAGGAGTACAACATTTTATAAATTAGCTATTGATAAACTTCGACGTTATTGTCAAACTTTATCAAATGTAGCAGAGAAAAAACATGGCAATGAGGTTTATTAATAAATTATTAATTTTAACTATTTTTTCTTTCTTTTATTTTGTTTATTTAGTGCATAGTTGAACTTGAACGAGAACTTAAATCAACAGTAGAACACGAACGCATGATTGAGGAGATTCATGAAAATTTATTCAAGAAATATACGAGTGGTGGTGGTGGACGAGCAGCCGGTGGTGATATTAATAATGATTTAAATTATGGAAGTCCTTTTTATAATGCAGCTGTTGATGAACGTCCAACACGTGATCCTGGTTTTAATAATCGAAATCCAGCTCAAGGAGTCGCCCCGTAAGACATATGATGTAAGATTTATTTGATAGAGAGTTTTATTTGTTTTACATAGATTTCAACCAGCATCTGCACGTCCTCAAGGAGGTGCTCGTGATATAAGATCAGCAAATCATAATCAAAGAGGAAGAAATCCTCCATCAAATGCTCCTCATAATAAACAAAAACAATCGGATAATAAACGTGGTAGTAATCAAGCAGATAATGCAGTTAGTTATTTTATATATATATGTTTTTTTTTTCATAAAATAAATATTTCTTTATTATTATATATGTATAGGAAAAAAAATATATACCTACACCTGCAGAAAAAGATTTAGTAGAAGGTTTAGAACGTGATATTGTTCAAAAAGATCCAAATGTTCGATGGTATAGTATATTTATATATTCTATTTGATTTCATAAATAGATTTAATAAACTACTGATAAAGTACACATGTATCTCGAGCTTATTGAGTATAATCTTTTTTGAATTCGGATCCAAATCGTACTCCTAATTTCAACGAATTCTTTTAATCTAAGGAATACAGTCCCCTCCAGGACAAACTATTTTCTGCACCGAATTTCATTGACTGAAAGGCATTTGACTGCACACTTCTTTTTATCGATGCATTAGTCATGTCTTCAGTCAGTCACTCGATTCTTCATATCTAACCATTATTTTGAAACGAGAAAAATTTTGTTGATATCATGAGAATGTAAGGAGTATACATCTGAAATCTGTTTTTTTTTGAAAAACGTGATTCCGTTTGAGGCTATAAAAATGTAGAAAACAATAATAACAGATGAGAATTTCCTTATATGGATATGCATGATTCAATCTGAAAAAGATCATTGATATTTCAGATCGTTATGTGCAATAGTTAATTCAGATTCATTATCTTTTAACTTGTCAATTGAACCAGGATAATCGAATGTGACTGAAATTCATTATGATTTCCTCTATGAAAGTCTGAGATGAAGAGATAGCAGATGTCGTATAGAATTGTGTTTCAACATTTTCCGTACTCGTGCTTTACTCGAGCGACATTCTAGTTCTTTGTCAGAAATCAAAGAATTAAAGTGTAAGACAAGTTTTGATATAAGAATTTAAAAAATTCAAAACATTAGTTTTGTCTATACGAGGCAACGTTTTTTAAATAATCAATCACTTTCTCATACAAAGCTACTGAACTACAAGTTATTGACTATACTGATCTTGAATAACTTGAAAACTAATTTTCATTCTTTTTAAGGGTGGATGTTGCCGGTTGTACAGGTGCTAAAAAATTATTACAAGAAGCTGTTGTACTTCCACGCTATATCCCAGATTTCTTCAAAGGTATTCGTCGTCCATGGAAAGTATGTGTTTATATATTTCTTCATATAGAAATCGACTTCATCTTTTTTTTTTAAATGTATTAGGGTATTCTTTTATTTGGTCCACCTGGCACTGGAAAAACAATGTTAGCTAAAGCAGTAGCAACAGAATGTAAAACAACATTTTTTAATGTTGCTGCTGCAAATTTAACATCAAAATATCATGGTGAAGGTGAAAAACTTGTACATTTACTTTTTGAATTGGCTAAATTTTATGCACCATCAACAGTATTTATTGATGAAATTGATTCATTATGTTCTACACGTGGTCAATCAAATGAACACGAAGCTAGTCGAAGAGCTAAATCTGAATTACTCATTCAAATGGATGGTGTATCTGGTGCACTTGGTAATAATTTGTTGTTCTCTTCTTTTTTTTTTATTTTTATTAGTTTAAATTATTCAATTCGTATTTTTATTTATTTATAGGAAATGAGGATCCATCAAAAATGATTATGGTACTTGGTGCAACTAATCATCCTTGGGATCTTGATGATGCAATGCGAAGACGTTTAGAAAAACGTATTTATATACCATTACCAGATGCTGCAACACGAAAACAATTACTTGAAATAAATCTAAAAGAAGTTTCACTTGAAAAAGATGTTGATTTAGATATTATTGCTAACAAACTTAATGGATATTCTGGTTCCGATATAACAAGTGTTTGCCGGTAAATTTAATTAATTATTTAAATATGATTTTTTTTTTAAATTAATTTTCATTTGTTTTTTTTTTTAAATATAATTTAGTGATGCAGCTATGATGCAAATGCGTCGAGCAACAGAAAATTTAAGTATGACTCAAATTCAAGAACAAGCACAAGTTTTAAAAGAAAAACTTCAATCACCAACAATAATGAAAGATTTTGAAGATGCTATTTCAAAAATTTCATCATCAGTTTCAAAAGAAATGCTTGAAAAATATGATCAATGGATGAAAGATTTTGGTTCCGTTTAATTTTATTATTATTATTATTATTTTATTCTTTTCGATCAATATCTGTCATACGTTTTTTTTTTTTGTTTTTTTAAATATATGTGACGGTGATCAAAGCAATTCATATATTTGTACATGTAGCAATCCTTTTATTTTTTTCGATCAAAGCCCGCCTTTAGAAATCGATCTTGAGTCAAGTACATTCAAATCACAGAAAACTTTCACGTGATAATATTTTCAACCACGTTTTCGAAAGATATTCAACAAAACAAGGATTATAAACAATTCATTTGTCAATGGAAAATATTTACTTAATTTTTTTTTCTGTTAGAAAGACCATGGTACAGCCATTCTTACTTTTTAAGCGGCGAATAGTTCAATATCTTGAAAATTTGTTTTCTAATTTTAAAAGTACTCTCTTATATAATAGTAATAAAGTTTAATTCAAAAAAGGAATTCTGCCATGCCCCTATATCTTAACATGCTCTTTCAAATAACAAAAAAACACTAAATATATAGAATAAAGGTACACAGATAATTTCGGGTTGCGCGACCAAAACAGCAAACACGATGTGCCGGTTTTTCGGAAAAAAGCATATTTTTGTTGAATTCACATACATTTTCGAAGAAAATAGTAAGTGTAAGTTTTAAGTAGAAGTTTTACGGCTCTTCTTCCTATCACAAGATTTCAACTATTCTAGAACATTCCAAAATTTTCCTCGAAATTTGAATCACTGGAATGCATTTTGTAAACGTTCTAAATAATGTTGTGATGCATTGATTTACCACAGTTGTCATATGATCAATATAAAAAGTGTGAACTGATCAAGTTATAACTTTAAAAAATAATCAATATTAGTGTTTACGAGCTTATCTATATATATATATATATAATACTGCATTGAGACCTCCTGTAGATATAATGGATATGTGCAAGAGGCTTATTTACCAGTTATATTAAGAAAAACGGAATATAAAAAAAAAACGAGCAATGGGCAACAAAGCAAACAAAAAATAGAGTGTCAGTAAAAGAAAATACAAAAACATTTTTATCTGAAATGCAGCAATAGGACGGATCGTTTCTCGGGTGATCGATTATCTTAGAAAATAGCTATAGTGTGTGAAAGATTTTTGTACTTTACATATTTTTTTATTAGTATAATGGGGCTAAAGAACACATGTGAGTCGCATATTTCAGCCCCCAATGGGCTACACTAACAAGTTTTTTTTTTCAAGCAGAAAATGATGGAAATTATAGAAAAGTTTTTAGAAAAAACAAGATGCTAGATAAACAATCATGTCATTTATCAAAGATCAGGCCTCGAGTTATCTTTCCATGTATTTCTCTCTATTTTCATTTGTTTTTGCTTTTAAAGAAAATTAACTTTTTTGGGTAGATAGACCGTAAACAATTTCGTATACGCAAGTCTACATACAAAACAAACGTTAATAGTTGTATTTATCTATTATCAAGTGAGTATGTCTGTTTTTTTCATGCGGTTTGTAGATATAATATCTAGTCTCCTGCCTAGTGTTGATGGATATCAAGAAAGCAAATCGCTTTTGCTGTTGTTTTTGTTGTTGGTATTTGTTGTATACTCTCGTATTAGAAAAGAACAAGAAAAAGGAAAAAAAACCACAGGATATCGTTCTGTTCTTTTTCTGGGTAGTATCCAAGGTCTTTTATAGCTTGTCGATCTTTCTGTTTCATCCAATATAGAAGATAGAATATATTGATAATTGTACATAAAGAGCAAGGAGGAGAAAAAAGGAAAAAAAAGAAGTGCATGAGCTTTATTTCTTGTCGAATAACAACATTATTCATCTTGCTTATATTCTTCTTTCTGAAACCTACAAATTACTACTTAGTGGAGACACAATCTGTCTCCACACCATATTTATATCGTCGAGCAACAAAACAATAGAATATATATATATTCTAT